TATAGATGGATAAATAAAAATACAATTCAGAAAATGGAGACATTTATAGACCCTTTGGGAAAGGAAATCATCTCATAAATTAGTAGATATTCATATTTATTTTCCTTTGTTATTATACTTATTTTCTGATTGACTAAATTATAAATTGCATAGCTTCAATTTTTCATCATGTTAATACATTTCACTTTCACTGGGAATAATCTCCAGATCTGCTAATTTAAGACCTATTGGTTTGAATTTTCACAACCATTACACAGTATCTCTTTCTATGGAATAAATTCTGTAAGTAAGAAAAAGATTGTTATTACAAATGAGCAAACACAGGAGTGGGTGGTGGGTATGTCATTTTTTCAGTACGTTTCCACAAAGGCAAGTCATAAGGTTTAAACAACTGCCCAAGTTCCCACATGTGGCAATTAACAGACAAAATATGAACCCAAAATTTCATATTTTGTTCCAGGGTAAGCGATTTCTAAAACTATAACTGTCAAATAGCTCTCACTAACATATAAGAGCTATTTAAAAAGCAGTCTCAGGAACATTTATTCAGACACTAAAATTACACTTTTTTAAAAATTAATTCATGGCAGTTAATAGAGAGCTATCTTGAAAGTGAGAAGTATGTTTCTTTCTTACAGTGCTGAGGGTACTGGAGGATATTCCTCTTTGAACGTTGGTCAACAAGGCTGGCGAATCAATGCCAGGGTTTGAGGATGTGGTGCTACTTTGGGTCTTGTAGTGCAGGAGAATGAATTACAACAGTGTTTGGAGGGAATCTTCTGACCCTGTACAGGGTTGCCCCAGTAATGATCAGGGAACTAAGGATGGAACAAGGGTCAGCTACATGAAAGGCATGTACCCTAACTACTATAAGATCCATCAAGTTTGAAAACGAAATTAAAATGAGGCTATCTTAAAACTAATAGTACTTAAATATATACATATGATATACATGGCATATCACAGATATTAAGTATTGATTTTTGTAGCAAAATTTTTATCTGAGGAATAAAATTGATGGATTTTTTTATATTTCATGTCAACAGATGTAAAATATTTGTGTACGTATGTTTTTTTTCCAGTGACAGGTACAAGGTATTTGTAGATTTATTTAACCTTTCAACATATCTGGTTCCCCGACACTGGATACCGAAGATGAACCCAATCATTCATAAATTTCTTTACACGGCAGAATATTGTGACAGCTCATACTTCAGCAGTGATGAATCAGATTAAATCGCCTGCAAAAATCTATGAAGAACATCGATTTCCCAGTCTATTTTTTTAGATTTCTATGCATTTTCATAAACCCAAAGAAAAACACTAATGTATTATATGTATGTATATACATAAACACCATGATTCTCTAGTTCAATTCTGGAAATAGTTGTATTAACCTAATTTTTGTGATGATTAAAACTATCCATTCCAAATAAAAATATGATTAAATTATAACATTGTATAGTGTTTTTCTGTTAAAAATACGGTGTCTTGTGATACGTATCTTCATATACCCTCAACTGCGGCTATTCAAATACCTTATGCAAGAAAAGGTATTATTCTCTATAAAGATATTATTCTCTATAAAGACGTTTTCCATCAAAATCTTGCTTGTATTTGTTAAGGCTCTTAATCAAGTACAAAAACATATCCAGAAAGTTTCTTGGAGGGGAGTGATTGGACAAGTATGCCATAGTTCAAGGAATTAAGAAAAGTCTGGGAAATATGAGGTCACAGTAATGGATTAAGTTCCTGATTTCTATATTCCTGGAATGCCTTCAGGGTCCTCAGTTTTTCTCGGTTTTAGTCTGTCCTTGGTGTAGATCATTCCTTTGGATCTCAGTCCTAGCATCCTGCAGTCCCCAAGGGTCAACCCAGAGGACACAGACCCTGTCTTCACACTCGCAGAGTCGCAGGGTTCTAAGCCCAGGAGGCAGCTAGGATGCTCAAGAGGATTGGAGGAGAAACAAAGAACAGTTCCTGAAAGAGAAAAATGCTCTTTCCAAGAAAAAAAAAGTTACAAGTAGCCTAAGGGATAACCCAGTTCACTTCTTATAAAAAGAAATATTAGATTACTAGACATAACAAGGGTTTGTCTATTTTTCTAACTCAGGCTTTGATATCTTTAGATATCTCTAATAACTAAATTCTCCCTAGGAGAAGGGAGGATAAGTCCAAAAGATTCTACTAGAAATCTAAATATACATTGTGTGTAGATAAACAGGACTGGGGTTCAGGTGTTCTCTTATATGTGGTTGACCCCAGTGCGATTTCTATACAGCATATGGTCTACCAAGTACTGCTGAAAACAGTCAGCAAGCACCACTAGGCCCAATTTTCTCCATCACAATAAAACTAGAGCAAGAATTTTTATCTCCAACAAGCAATAAGTTCTTGATGGAATTGAACAATTCTTTGGTATCAATGGGAAATTTCACTTATAAGGATCTTAGTATCGAGCTTGTGCCCACATCATGTATAATTGCTTTGTGTATTATTTTTGTATTGGGCTGGAGTGATAGCACAGTGGTAGGGCGTTTGCCTTGCATGCAGCCAGCTCGGCTGAGCCAGGTTCAATTCCTCTGCCCCTCTCGGAGAGCCTGGCAAGCTACCGAGAGTATCTCACCCACACTGCAAAGCCTGGCATGCTCCCCGTAATGTATTCAATATGCCAAACACAGTAACAACAAGTCTCAAAATGGAGACGTTACTGGGCCCGCTTGAACAAATCGATGAACAACGGGAGGACAGTGACAGTGACAATGACAATTATTCAAAAAAAGACTTTCTGAAAAATCATCAGTGTGTACATGGGCTTGCATATATGCAGGTGCACAAAACCCCCAAATTGTTTACCTCAAAAATCAGACAACCTGTGCAATGGCTAAGGGTATATCTGATTTAAAACAGGCAAATTTTATAAGTTCTGGCTCTGTTCTTTATTAGTCTACTAATTTTCTTATTAAGCCAATACTCACTTAAGTTCCAAATTTATATCTATATAATGAGGATGGGGATATAGTTTAAAAAATTTTTTGTCACCATAATTTACAATGCTGTCAATGATAGGTTTGCATGCATATAACAAGACCATATTCCCCACCAGTGTCCGTTTCCCTCTGACATCTCAGAGGCCCCCCCTACCTCCACTTCCTATCCTCCATCTCCCCATCATGGTAAAATCAGTTCTGCATACTCTGTTGCTTTGCTTCACTGGTTATTCCCTTACCATATTTCTTTATACCCCAAGTATGACAGAGATTCTTTTTTGCCTACTACTCCCCTTGTAGTTGCTTCACTCAGTATAGTACTCTCCAGATCCATCCACACAGTGGTAAAGTGATTGATTTTGTCTTACAGCTTAATAGTATTCCATCGTCTATATACACAATAGTTTCTTTATCTACTCATCTGTTCTTGGACACTTGGGGTGTTTCCAGATTTGAGCGAATGTGAATAGCGCTACAATCAATACAGGAACACAAAAGTGTTTTCTGAGTAGCATTTTTGCACCCAATACACATAATAATATTTTCTTTTTCTCATGAACTAATGAAGAAATCTCTTAACATGCCCAATCTTAAGATGCACTGGAAACCGTAAACAAAGGTTATCTTCCAAGATTTAGCTAACTTGTAATCTGCTAACTTTTTCAGTTTAACTACGTTTCTTGGCGACTCTAAATTACATAGTTGTAAGACTTTCCCCCCAAAGAAAGTATCAATTCTTTTTCATGTAAATGTCTGAACAATGATAATGCTGGTTTGTACCCTTGTCTCTATTGAAATGTGGTTCTGGGGGTGACAGTCAACTTTACACTGCGATTTTATATGTAATGCAAAACCATTGTAACATTACCTAATTTAGCCATTACTTTGAGGTTTGTTGACATAATATACAACATTTTGAATTTCATTATGATTTCTAATTATTTTTATGGGAACCCCAGGCAGGCAGTGCAAAGCCACTCCCATAAATGCTCAGGGGGCCAGAAGGTTCGGTGCTTGGGGCCTGGGGATTCAGAGACGCTCAGTCCTGGAATCTCAACAAGCACCAGCACCAACTACCCTGAGCGGGCTTGGTACTTCCAGGGAGGCATGTGATGCCAGGGATAGAATTTGGGACTCACATACTTTGCTTATGCCCCAACCTCTGAGCTCTTTTTCTGAATTTATATCTTTCAATCATTATATGATTATTTCACTGTGCAGAGAAAAACCTCAAGTGGTTATTTGTTTTACTTCTTCTTTTTCTTTCTTTTTGAACTAGGGAGTATATGCCTACTTCAAAAAGCAGCAATTGAGGCTGAGAATGCAGAAAGTAGTTGAATATGAAAATTCACTTGAAAGAGTTGGTATGTTTTAGGAGCATTGAGTAGCTTCTTAATGTTTTAATATGTAGGCTGAATTAACAGGATGATACTGTCTTTCAGAATTATAAATGCAAGGGACATATGTAGTGGATTATAATAAAATTCATCAGAATGACCTGGAGTCCATATTAAAAGAGTTTGACAAATTTTCAGTATTTCGGGTTTGGTGGGCTACACTTTGAAATTCCTGAGGTTAACAGACAAGGAGTTTGCTAGGTAGACTCAATAAGAAGCGGAGATTATAAGAGATGTAAAGGATATGCTTCTATGAAAAGTAGGGAAGAAGGAGACATATCTATACAATGAGAGGCACTAAGTGATGAAGAGATGGGTTATTAAGGTACAGTTGACTTGATAATATACCTAGAATTTTTCTTAATCTTACTTATTGGGTGATTACATAATACTGATGTAACTATTTAAAATAAGACCTTATGAAGTATAGGAGCTTTGCTTTTTTGTTTGTTCAGTTTTTAGGAGGGAAAGACAGGATAATAAATTTGGTGCTGGGTGACACTGAGGTAAAACTGTCAAAGAAGAAAATTAAAAATTGGATTTATGTATAGAGATGAAACTGTATGAATGTAAAGCATATAAACTCTGCTGGAACAATGTAAATCATACACTTAGAGGCTTATTTTTCATAACACAAATTAAAAATAAAGTTTGTTTTATTATCATCAAAATCTTGAAGAACTCAGAAATGTTAATCATTCAAGACATTAAGATGCTAATCAAAAAACCATAGTTTTTGTATTTAGACAGTATCAGAAAGCATTTACATTATAAAGAAATAAGTAAATAAGCACAAACTAGAACAACAAAGGCAAATTACTTTTTGTCATACTTAGATAATTCTATCATTTATTATTCAAATATAAGTATTTATTTTTCTTGGTATTTATAATCCACTCAATACAAAAAGAGTAATTTGGGGGCCAGGAAAATGTCTCAAGTGATTGTATGTGTGATGCCCTGAGTTAGATCCCTGAAACCAAGTAGCCCCTGAGCATCACTGGGTGTGACCTCCACAAAAATTAAAAAAAAAATAAAGAATATATATGAGTTAATCTCATAAAATCCAAGGGACAAAGCACCATTAGTTAATGTAAAATAACTGATTTTAAAAATCTTTATTGTACTTCACTTCAATGGTTCATGACTTGGAAAAGTGCAAGTGATTTTAAATTGGTATAACCAAATTGATTATATAAAAACTAATTCGGCAGAGCCTGGCAAGCTACCCGTGACATATTCAATATACCAAACACAGTAACAACAAGTCTCATGATGGAGACGTTACTGGGCCCACTCGAGTAAATCAATGAACAATGGGAGGACTGTGACCGTGACCGTGACCGAATTTGGTTATTCTTATAAGGGGCTACACTAGCTCATAAAATAAAATAAATTCTTATTATTTTTTATTTCTATAGGAAGTATGCCATTAAAATAAACAAATAGAAGACAAAAACAATGACTAAACCAAACTAGAAAACAGCCATTTCAAAGTGAAAACACTTACAATATCGCCTAACCTGACTTTCACGCCAGTATAGGAACGTTCCTGAGATTTCTCCTGGCCATGATGCTGCTACTCTTCAGAAAGACCTTGATTGTTCACATCTGTGTAAAGGAACTTCTAGAACTTAGTTTAAATGCTCTAGGCCCTGGGCCCTACTGAGGACTGTAGATTTCTCTTGACCTGTTCATTATTTCACACAAGTACAGCAGAAACTGAATCTGCAACACCTATAAAAGAGAGAAATTATTAGTATGAATCTAATGGCTCTTTAGACTATTTTTGTTGTTGTTTGTTCTGGTGTCAAAGCTGGTGGTGCTCAAGGGTTACTCCCAGCTAGGATGCTCAGAGACTGTTTCCTGGAGGAACGCAGGGTACCAATGTGGTACAGGGAATCAATTCAAGCAGGCAAAGTGTGTATTCCAGTCCTTTCAGCTATCTCCTTGGCCCGCAAGATGACTTTGAAATAGAAAATTTAGGTAGTGCTCGTGTGGGTTCAAAAAGAGTTCATGTTTACTAAGTAAATTATAAGAATGGGCTGGACGCTTAGAGGAAGAGCACAAACTTCACATACATGAGGACCTGGAGTTGATTCCTAGCACCAATAAAATAAGTTAATAGATATATAAATCACAAGCATTCTATGCTTTCTCAGCACCCACGAACATAAACTTATGATGGTAAAAACAAATCCTTGCTTATCTGAAGACCGGATTAAGCAATGTCTTTGGACTCTTGTAGCCAGGAAATGAATGCATTTTCCTCATATGACTATACAGAAGAATAAGTTCCCAGCTATGTCACCTTTAGGATGTACTCACGTTCAGGAAGGATTTGGATAATTTTGGGGGAGAATCAAATAGGCGAGTAGATACAGAGTAGAAAGGATTCCAACTCACCCTTACTAACTGGGAGTTGGTAGATATACTTATTAATTGAGGCAATTATGAACCAATGTCTGAAATAATTCCTTGAAACTCCCATTCCAAAGCTCTGAAAACTCCCCTTCCTTAGCCTCTGTCCACATACTGCCCCTTCAACAGCAGAGCTTCAATACATTTTATCCCCAAGTTCAACAATTTAAAGTGCCCAGTGGTATTGAAAATCACAACCATCCTGTTATTCGATTGCCTCGAGCAGGCCCCAGTAACGTCTCCTTCATCCTAGCCCTGAGATTTTTAAGAAAGTGCTATATACAAGGCTCTTTAGGAGAATGAGACCCATCATTGTTACTGGTATTTGGCATATTGGGTACGCCAAGGGGAGTTTGCCAGACTCTGCCGTGTGGGCAGGTTACATTCGGTAGCCTGCCAGTTTGTTCAAAGTAGGAATGAGATAATAAGATGTCATAATAAGATGTTGCACGGACATCTTTATAGTCAGAGACTATAAAAACCAGCTCCCGGAAGAGAACAGTGCAGTCTCCTGCCCCCATGCCTGGCTGTCCTCACCGGGGCTCCTTGGAGGGGAGAGGGTTGAGCTTTCCTCCCCGCCCCACCAGGGCTCCGGCAGCCGAAGACCTCCAGAACCAGCCACCACCATGCTCAGACCACTCTCCGCACACCTGAAGGTACCGGCAGAGGAACAAAGGCAAGAGAGTCCCGTCCGGGGCTGAGATCTCCAAGCCTACTCGGATCGGGGCTGAGTATCCTCCACCCAGATCCTCTGAATTCCAGTAGGCGGGGGTCACACCCACCAACTGGCCCCCTGACGCCATGTAATCCCATCAACGGCCAAGACTCAGAGACTATAAAAAACAGTGGTATTGAAAGTGGGCACCAAATGGGATTGTACATGCACTGTCTACCAGAGTTCTGCAACAAATACTCTCTAAAACTCTGCTCAATCATTCTTGAAAATTCTTTTGCTAGGGTGGTAGAATATGCCATTTGGTGACATACATGATTTTTATTTTGTAGCACAGCTAGAAAAGTAGTCACTAGATTGAATCAAGACATAAACTCAAATTTCATTAGTTATCTAATCTGTAAGCTTCTATAATTTTAAAGGTGGGGAACCAGAGAGACAGTACAGAGGTTAAGGCAAGCAGTTATATCGATGCCTGAGGCTCTGCAAAGTCCCCACACACTGCTGGGAACAAACAACCTCCAAGCACAAAGTCAGAAGTAGCCCCTGAGCACTGATGGGCATGGCCCCGAAACAAACCCCCTAACCCCCACAAAAATATATATATGAGAAATAACTGTAATAAGAAATCAAATAACTCTTCTCATATTTATATATATTTAAATTTTATATTAATATATTTATATTTTATTATTGTATTTTTGTAGATTTATATTTACCTATAAATATGGTCTAACTCAATTAAGAAAATTCTGGTGATTCTCTGGATCAAAGTTTCAGAATATAGGTTTAATTGTAAGTTTTAGAATACAGTTCAAAATACAAAATGAGATATTTTAATTTGGTTATAGTAAACAATCAACAATAAAAATTGCAATCGGAGGAAGAGGGCACACCTGATGGTACTCAGGGATTACTTCCGGCTCTGTGCTCCAGCATCACTCTTGGAAAGTGATCCCCGATGGTGCTTCAGGGAACATGCACCATGCTAGGGATTGAGCCCAGATTGGAGGCATGCAAAGCAGCACCTTACCAGCTGTACTATCTCTCTGGCCCCCAACAATGGCATTTGTAAAGGAGAGTGTTTGATATTTGTTTCAGTCTTTCCATTCCAAGTGTATGCCTTTATAGGTAACAGAGGAATATCAAAGCAGAGATACTGTTACTGAACTTTCCCCCTTCCCTCTCTTTTATTGTGGCTGAATGTTTAGGGTTTGCAAACATGAGCAGTCAAAGCACACTTGTTTGGCCATGAGGGGCCTTAGCAGCCATACTGGGATTTCACTCAGTGATGTGCTGGTGCTGGGGACAGAATTCAAGGCCTCGTTCCTACAAGGCAGTTGCTACGTCACAACCCCAGAACCCAGATTTTCAAATATTTAGACAAAGGAAAAATGACTCTTAGAAATACTTGAGTAGGTATTATAATACAAAACTTAAGGGAAATCAAGAGTTATATAGTCATATAAATTTGTTCATAGGTGATATTTTGGGTCAACTTTGGCCTCTTTATGTATTTGTCAGAGTTTGTAAATAGTTAACTTTGGTAGATTATTATTTTATCTTATAATGTGCTAATTGTATTTCTCTAACTATAGTTCTGTCTTTTAAAGACATGAATATATACAAAAGTACATCCAAAGTACATCCATTTTAAGTATTTTTGTTAATTTTAGGAGACATCATGATTAATAATATTGTTCATGATAGGGTTTCAAATATGCTGTGTTCCAACACACCCTGACACCCTGTGTCTGCTTCCCTCCAGCACAGTCTTTATATATTATTTTATTCATTTTTGTTTGGGGCTGGAGCAATAGCACAGCGGGTAAGGTGTTTGCCTTGCATGCGGCCAATCCAGATTCAATTCCTCCATCCCTCTCAGAGAGCCCAGCAAGCTACTGAGAGTATGCTGCCCTCATGGCAGAGCCTGGTAAGCTCTGGCATATTCGATATGCCAAAGACAGTAACAAGTCTCACAATGGAGATGTTACTGGTGCCCGCTTGAGCAAATTGATGCACAATGAGAGGATAGTGCTCCTCCTCCTCCTCCTCCTCCTCCTCCTCCTCCTCCTCCTCCTACTACTACTACTACTACTACTACTACTACTACATTTTTGTTTGGTGTTTGGGCCCCACCTAGTGCTGCTGAGGGTTTTCTTTTAGTTCTGCAATCAGGGCTCACTCCTGGCAAGACTGGGGCCCATATGAAGTGTCAGGGATTGAACCTAGATCAGCTGTGTGTAGACAAACACCCTACCAGTTACATTATCACTCCAGACCCCTACCAATGTCTCTTTTTAAGAACAGTTAATTTATTTTTCATAAATTGACTAAAGAATAAAAATTATTACTGTAAAGAGATTTGTATGTATAGGAAGCATACTAAGCATAAGACAGATCAATAATTTTAGTATTTTCTGATACTTCCTTATCCTTTAGCCTGGAGTTTAAAGTATAAATATGTGACTCACCACAAATATTCTCTCCCATTTTAACATGGGCATAGCCATCAACTCCCCAGGAACTGCCCCAGGAGTTCCGCACAATCCAATATGGAGTACTTCCTACAAAACACAAACGGGTAACAAACCCTGAAGCTCTTATATTTGTCATGACTATAGGTCTATCTAAAGTATGTTTTACAGTAGCTTTAAGAAAAAGATTGACATGCAGTATGATGCTAATATAAACTAAGTAAACAAGCTACATTTAATGTCATACGACATCCAATGGACAAATATATAAAATTAATTTCATCTTGATACAGAGACTAGATGAAATAAACACACACACACACACACACACCCCAGGGAATTAAGAAATAAAATAATTGCTAGACACGTAAGATACAATAATAAAAACGTTTCCCATGTCAACTCTGTAGATTTTAAATAGTAATTAAAAATTGGCATTATTAAAATCAAGGATTACCATTTTAACCAAGACTATAGGAAAACTGATAGTGCAGGCACATTTATATATACAAGTATACCAAGAGGTTATAAAAACAATGAAGACTTAGACTATCAGGGCCAATTTCATATTTTAAAGTATGGAAGTATTGGTCAATTTGAGTTCAAATTAGAAAGCATTTAGTTAATGCACTTACCTGTTTTATCAAACCCAGTTATGAGAACTGCATGATTTGCTTCTCCACTAGAGCAATGATGCTGTATTATACCTCCAAGATAATCTTGCCAGCTCACTGCATCAACTATCACTACCAAAGGGCCAAATGCAAGCAGGGCTTTTGCCATTTCGTCTTCTTGGCCACTACGAAAAGAGAATATGTTTAGTTAAATCAAGATTAAGATAATTTTTATAATACAAGTGTTTTACAAACATTATCTGATCTGTCCATAGTTAGGAGTAGGTTTAGCTGCAATTATAGAATAAGTCCTAAATATGGCAGTTTCAGCTTTTGAACCTTTTGATAATTAGTAAAATGACCCAAAACAGGCAAAATAATAAAATTTTTAAAAGGGAGCATGGTAGGATACATGTTTTGAATTCCACTTATGTAGGCTCAAATTTTTCCTGAAAAGTCATTCCATCTGTCTTGATGAGACAATGTGAAGACAAAATTATAAATATGAACTATAAAGTGCACCTCACATAAAAATTTTACTCTGGATTTACAAAAAAAATTATTTCCTACCTATATTTCTAAGAATCCATCTAAAACCTTACTTTTCAGGATATGTTTTTGTGTATAAGTTGATTATATTAAAATATCTTAATACTTTCTAATCTATATATGACAAATGATAATCTTTATATTAACCAGAACACAATTATCACTACCATTTTTAAGATAATGACAGATACATCGTAAATGCATGATACGCAAATACACTTACAGGAACAGTGTGAAGAAAGATAATGGCTACATATATAAACCTTCATTCCATGAGTCTACTATTTATTTTACACGTCAGGAAGAAACAGATGCTAGAATCCTCTGACCATTCTCTTAAATTTTCTTTCTTTTTATTTTTTTATTTTTGGGGTCACACCCGGCGATGCTCAGGGGTTACTCCTGGCTTTGTACTCTGGAATTACTCTTGGCTGTGCTGGGGGACCCTATGGGATTCTGGGAATCGAACCTGGGTCAGCCACATGAAAGGCAAATGCCTTAGCCACTGTGCTATCGCCCTATGCGCTTAAATTTTCTTATCATAAAGCTTTAGAGATTAAGGTGAGTCTGACCTAGTAAGACTCTATTATTATGTAGATCTCCATATCAGCTTCCAAGAATTAGGTGTGTTACAGTCTCATTTTTCAGTCCTTTGGTATGTAGCAGATTGTTTCCTTTGGTGTTTACTTAAATGGCCATTCTATTCTTGTTCTAATTCTAAAAGTCTTTCTAGGGATCTGATAGAGAAAAATGCATGAACTTGGATTTGAATGATCAATTTGCTTTAAGACTGAATACTTATAAACATTTCTAACGTTTACTTATTTTCCTGATTGCCAGAACTATTTAGGTTCAGCAGAGTGTTTTATTGACTTTTTTTCCACTGGTACCTGGGTTACCTTTGAAAACTGGTGAATTTGGAAAGGAAGTACTCATGTCAGGGCTGCACAGATACGGTTCTACAATTCACTAGCTGTGTCATTATCTCACCCAACAAACTTCTACTACAACAGATGGAAAAAGTGATACTGAAGTGCCAGAAGCCTGATCCTCTGCCTCATTAGATGCTGTGAGAGTTCTTCCCACATTCTCTGGTCCTTACCATGGCACTGCACAGGGTCCCTGCCGACTGATGCCTTAGCTTCTGAATGAAGATCACTACCCACTTCCATCCCTCAACTATTAAACCACAGCGGTCATAGGGTGACCTTGGATGGGAGAACAGGAATGCACATTTTGTCTTGGCCCTGAGCTCCCCAGGGGTGTGCTAAGTTCTAGGAGAGCCACATAACTTATTGGGTTGATAAGGGAGAACCCTGGTCTGTTATTTTCACATTGCCTAGATGTCTCTTCCACAACCCGAACTCTAGATCTCATCTTCTCAATCTAGTCTTCAACATATACATCTCAATTAGTGCTCATCCCATTTTCTTGGCTGGCCAGGATAACATGCCCAGAGTCATTCTGGATTTGCTCTCTTCTCCCTCCTGCAAAATCAATATGTCCTGAAGAGCTCTCTTCTCTAATATACCTTCTTCTCTATAAAAGGTGTATTTTCTCTCATTTGTAAGACTATTTTAACACTCTGCTCTAATGATATTAATGGAGAACCTGTATTGCTTCAGTTCTATGAATGTCACATTGGCTTTTACAATGCTCATACAATATTCCATGTTTCCAGTCCATAGTCTTTGCACTTAAGTGCTCTTAAGGCTTGGGCCTCATGGTTATATTCCTTTAGTGATTCAGGTATTTTCTCAAACGTCATCTTCACACAGACCCCTTCCTGACATTCCTTCATAATAAGTCTATATACTTCCCCTTCCGCAACTACATTTCCTTTTCCTCCTCTTTTATTTTGTTCTCTTTAGAAATTATTTCATCCGACTGCCCACACATATTTTTATTTCTTTTATTTGTTATTTGTCTTTATCCTTATGCTAACATTCCATAGACAGGGATTTTTTGTCCGTTTTGTTTACTGTTTGCTTTCCAGAACCTAAACGGGCCTTTAGAAAATATCTGCGTGAATAAATATATCAAAGATATATTTGACAGAGTTGGAGCGATAGCACAGCTGTAGGGCATTTGCTGGCCCGGCTGAGCCGGGTTTGATTCTTCCACCCCTCTTAGAGAGCAGGGCAAGGTACTGAGAGCATCTAGCCTGCAAGGCAAGCATATTCAATATGCCAAACACAGTAACAACAAGTCTCACAATGGAGACGTTACTAGGCCTGCTCCAGCAAATCAATGAACAATGAGGACAGTGCTACAGACAGTATTAACATCATTAGCTTAGTACTGTACAATCAGTTTATTTTACACTTGATCTTAGCCAAAAGGCCAAGAAGTGATAATCAGAGCTTATTTTAAAATTTCTTTTATTCTTTTATTTATTTTGGTTTCCAAAGTACTCCCGGTGGTGCTTAGGGCTTACTCCTGGCTCCATGTTCAGAGATCACTCTTTGTGGTCTTCAGGGAACCATATTTGATGCCAGAGATGGAACAAGGCCATAGACTCGGGTCCTGCACTATCTCTCTCAACCCAAATAGTTGAATGCTCAGGATAAATATTAAAACAATTTTTTGTCCCTCTACCTTCTTAAGCACAGGTTTGGGTAAATACTGATTCAGGCTCAATATCAGTGACTTTTATTCTCTCTCTAATTCAGAACAGTGTCTGTTATTCTTTATATCTCCCTAACTTTCTTAATTTGCTATTCTTGATGACAAGGGATGATACCCTTAATCACTTTTAGTGATCTTTAGAAAATCTAATTCATTCGTACAAATACCAAAGAATGGGTATCTTATAGAGATGTTCTTTCTCCTTTTAGAAAAACGTGTAACTTTCATCCTAAACACACACACACACACACACACCACACAATCACGATGTTGCACAATGTATTCAGTGACCCTGTAATTTTCCTAAGCCTTCCAAGGATTCTACCATCCATGGCATTGAGTCTCAAGGGAATCGTTCCTAGGGCTTAGCCTGGGCCAGTGGAATGTAAGTGTCGAGCATGTGCTAGTTCTCTTGTCAAATCTGTGCTTAATTAAAGGGGCTCCATTTCCTTCCAGGACCCAATTTCACCACTGATTTCCTTTAGATCTCAGGGGTAGACATCATCTGGATCAAGGGATTCTTCTGGAGTCAGCATCATTAAGTGATCCAACAGCCTATCACTTGATACAAGTTTGATTTTTTATTTATAAAGACTGGAAAATTCTTTCCCTATTTTATTTTTTTATATTAATGTATTTTTATTTTACTGAAATACACATACAAAGTGAGATACATAGTTACAAATGCACCTAATTCATGATTAGGTTTCAGTCATATAATGTTCCAAAACCTGTTTCTTAACCTGTGTACTTTTCCTACCACCAATGTCCCCAGTTTCCTTTCCAATCCCCCTCCACCAAGGTAGGCTCTCTCTCTCTCTCTCTCTCTCTCTCTCTCTCTCTCTCTCTCTCTCTCTCTCTCTCAAGGTTATCAGGTATATTCCTTTACCTACTTTCAGCACTCAGTTCCTTTCCAAAATGATCATTTCCAACTATTATTGCAATACTGATACCTTCTCTATCTTAATGGTCTTTCCCTATTTTTATTTAAAAAAAGAGTTGATTGATTCCTCCTTGTCTACATCAGAATGAAATAGAAATTCTGCATTATATTGCACAGTTACTATGGTTCTTGAACTCACATTAAATATTTTGTGTGCTTGGGAACTATTTTTTTTATCTTTTTTTGCTTGGGGCTACAACTGGCAGTGCTCTAGGCTAATTCTCAAATTGACTACTTGCAAGGCACTCCAACCCCATCAGAAACATTTCTTATTATTTTCCTGGCTCAGTTCAAAATCATCCTCAATTTTCAATGTGCATTCTCCTCCTTAGCTGTTCTTATGTGTGCCTGTCTTTTCATCCTGTAATAGCGTAGGCTGTATAACTTATCTCCAATAATCAAACTTCTGCTGCTTACTTCTGCTTAAAAGCTTCAGCTTATACTGAGAGCTAGTGCCTTGGGAAATCCAATATAGAGGGGGTTCCAAAATCTTCCTTTTTAGGTAGAGCTGAATATTCTCTGGGGATCTATAAAACTATTTTTGGTCAACTCAAGGAGTGATAGCACAGCGATAGGGCGTTTGCCTTGCACGCAGCCAACATGGCTGACCTGAGTTCTATTCCTCCGCCCCTCTCGGAGAGCCCGGCAAGCTACCGAGAGGATCTCGCCCGCACGGCAGAGCCTGGCAAGCTCCCCATGGCATATTCGATATGACAGACACAGTAACAACAAAGTCTCCAATGGAGACGTTACTGGGCCCGTTCGAGCAAATCGATGAACAACGGGAGGGCCTTTACCTTTACCTTACCAAGAGAGTAAAATATGCTTCTGATAATTTCAACTAAAATTTAAGAGAAAGATGGTTAGGTATCAATTTTACCATACCCTGGATAAAACATGTTGTTTTTAGTTTGTAGTTTATATTGAGCTGCCACAAGGAAAACTAGGTCAGCTGTAATTAAGAAATTACACTCACTGCACTCCCTGGTCCAATGTCTACATTGGACATGCCAGAAACAAGATACTCTAGTGAAAAATAAGAATTTAAAATAATTTTGAGTATGCAGTAGTTCCTTCAATGAACTTACTAATTCCTAATAGTCCACAGATCATATATTAAGACACAAAGAATGCAACATAATAAGATATTTACCTGAAGTCAAATGCAGAATAACCCTTGATTGAAAATCCAGAATGTGAAGCAGAAAAATAATGGCACAGACCATTTTGTGCTTTAAATGGATACTCAGAATCTCTCACTATTTTTACTTGAGTCTAGAAAAAAATAATCAGGTAAAGACTTCTCAGTCACATCCTTGCTTTAAAAGTCAAATCGTATTTGCTGCAATGTGTCAAAATAATATTCAGCTTGGTTATGCTTCATCCTGTGAGAATTCCCATGGTTACTAAGATCTTCAAGAAATCCTGAAGTGCTGGTTATGGATACCCTAGTAATTTAGAGCCCATAACTTTCTTTGTCTTTTACTTTTCTTCTAACTTCCTTCAAAGATTTGGAAACAGTGTGTCATCCTCTGATGGGTAGACCAGGCAACCCACATCCCTTCTAGTGTTTCCGGTTCAAGGTTCGCTAGTCTTCCAGCAAGCACAGTGATTTGTGTACAGGCAAGGGTGCAGCCCAGGTTTCTCTTTCTCCATGTCTCTCTGAGTCATTCATTTTGGAGACATCAGAACCTGATAGCTGTGCATCCCTTTCTGAATGTGGGCTTACAGAAGGAGACGCATGCACAACTCACTGCACCCTCACTGGTGGGCTTCAAGCAACTAATGCAGGACCTAGGGAATGTCTGAAAAGACACTGAGTTGTTGGGGGAAGCCTTTAAGTAGGAGGCAGAGGGCTGGAGTTGCTGTTCTGTTTTTCTTCTCTGTTGTTGTTTTCGGGTCACATCCAGCAATACTCAGGGGCTACTCTTGGCTCTGTGCTCAGGGATCACCCCTGGTTATGCGAGAACCATACTGGGTGACAGGAATCGAAGCTGGGTTAGACACATGCAAGGCAAATGCCCTACCCCTAAACTATCTCTCAGCAACTCCAGGTTCCCTTCTGACTCAGCAAATTTGGCAAAAGATCTCAGTTACAAAGTCTTTTTTCTTACTACATAGAAAAAAGGACCTAAAATGGGGGATTTCTAATGTTCCCTCTGGGCATAATATTCAGAATTTCCATGTAAATAAATCACCGTATGTTCTCAATTTTCTGCACCATTATGTGAAACATAGCTGCAAAAATTTCTGCCACACTTGCCTATTAAGAAAGGTTGAGACATGACTGTAACTATATTTTTAATAATATGTCATAGGTTAGACCTTTGATTTATTAGTGACTCATTTGACTGGAAGCAATTAATTAAAAAATGCTACGAGTCATTAAAGATACAGTGATGGAAACTTCCAAACTTGAGAATGTTACTTAACTTGTGAAAATAAACTAGGAATTCTGCCCACATTACACAAGCACAAAAGGAAACAAAGAGTTCAAAAGGCTGAGAAAAAAACATTACCTTATTTAACCATTTCAAAGCACTGAGAGGAGAACCTCCATTGCAGCCGTAATTACTATAGGAGCAATCTATCAGCTGCTGCACACTCAAGTCTTCCAGAAGTTTCCCTTTTATTGCAAAAGCTGATTCCACTGCACCCACCACACTGAAAGCCCAGCATCCTCCACACTGTTAAAAAAAAAAAAGAATTCTTTCTAGTATCCAATCATGCTCGAATCAAGTATACCAATGTTGACCTCAAACCAAAATAGCCAAATATTACAACCAGAAACAGTTAATTTGAAAACAAAGTGTAAGAGAGAACAGATTGGAGAGAATGTTCAAGGTGTGATCATGGGCACTTCCAGGCCAACCAAGACCCCATGAAACCCCTGGAGAACCTGCCCTCGATTCCACCAGCAGGAGAAGGTAGCAGGCTGAGTAGTGGCATTATTTTCTTATTCTTAAGTGTTTGTATACTTATCAGCCTCTTGACCTTATTTAAATACAGTTCTAAATGTTAATGCTATATCAATATCTTTAAATATCAAATGCTATCTCATCAAGTAACGTGATTGCAATCTGGACACTACAAATAATAAATGTTCATCCTCTCAGAGATCAGAGGTTCTGATATCTAAGAAAAGCAAACAAAAAAACTCAGTGCCAACTCCATCTGGAAATCTACCTAATTTAAGTCACCCTCAATCCAACCCCCATCTCCTGAATGGTTCCAGAGTATCCTAGGAGTATAGGATCAATGATCGAGGAAACACTTTTCTGGATCAAAGAAAAGCAAACTCTTTTTCAAGCTGACTTTCCTAGTGGGACTACAGAGGAGTAGGGGGTGTCAGCCAAGCACACCCCCTACCCTAAACATCTCCAGCAAGACCGGTTCACTACGTGTTTGCCACTGAGAATGCCCCTTTCTGATTTTCGGTTACAGTCCTCCCACCCATAGCAGCAACTGCTGAGTTACAGCCCACTGGAAGCACAAAGTGTGTGAGGCACACTTTGGATCTTTCTCAAAGCAATTCAGCTATATATATTTGCAATACTTAATGTCTTAGCATTTCTCAATCATTTAATATGTGGAACCTGTGCTTCCACTGTTACTCTTCTTTTTTTTTTCTTTTTAACTGCCACAGCGTTCCCAGTGCTGCGCCCCAAGCTCATTTATCTTCTATTTCCTTGCTTTCATTGTAAATGGAAATTGTCTATGTACCTGGCCTCGGGTGGTGTTTTCAATGAGGTTTTCCTTTTAAATTCACTGTTTAAATATTTAATAGTCAAATTTACTTTCCCCTTCCTTCTATTTGGAACTCTTCAGAACGTTGGGAATATGTGATCAAGCTACTGATGTGTATCCTTGAGACCGAGAGCTGGTGGCAATGACAATTATTACATGAACACATACTCACCAGATAATTTTTTTCCTAGAATCTAAGTGTGGCACAAGCATCCTATTCTCATTTTGTTAGCTGTTCTCCTTGCATTTAGCCTAGAGAAATGCCTCAAGAAACAATGGTTCCTTGCATGTCGGTATACATTTTGTTTGTTTTTTGTCTTATTTGGGGGCCACACCACCAATTGTGCTCAAAATTTATTCCAGCCACTGAACTAAGAGTTCATTCTTCAGGGGACCATACATGGTGCCAGGGATTGAACTTAGGTCAACTGTGTGCAAGACAAGCATTTTATTAAACGCTGTATTATCTCTTGGATCTTCTGTTGTCAATGACTTGACTTCAAAGGTGATTCCCCATGCTCAGGTGATTAAAAGGGCGAATAACCTACAACTTACCATCTGCTGGTTTCTCACTGGTGTGATGACATGTTTGTCCCTCCAATCAAACCTTAGTGGCAAAGACACACTGGAGATAGATTTCTCTACTTCTGGTAGATAGCTTGGAAGTCTGGAAGGCTTGCTTCTTAAATAAACAGCTGAATAGAAAACAGGAGGGAAATACAGCTGCTACATGATATTACAGGGAGGGTCCTTTGGGATTCTTTTAAGACAAACTTTCAAACAGAACAGTAATTTTTAGTACAATCTTCCTTTTGTGGTTTCCCTTTATGTTTTTCATGACATGAACAGTATTCAGCAGAAAGCTACTAAAGATAAGAATTCCTATAATAGGACAAAAATCCTCAAATAAAATGAATTGATTGATAGAACTGGGGCAACAGTTAAAAAGAGCAAAGATGCCATCATTTATATTATCATAACCCTCGGAACCATGAGTGTCTTGAAAAGAAAAAGTTCAAGAAAACTATATAAGAAACGAGGCAAAGTGGTTTATTGTCATAAAAGTCTATTTTTATAATAGTTAATGATAAGTAGAAGACTATGACCATGAATTTTCTATTCTGTTATAACTGGTTACCTGCTTGATTATTCATAAATTTTAACAAATATTAACTTGTACTTGTAAAATTTACATTTATGATTAAATTGCAGTAAGACAATTCCTTAAGAAAATGTCAGAAACAAGTAAAAAAAATCGGGAAATTAATAAGCAAACCACCATCAACCCCATAATATATGTAATTAGGGGATCACACCCAGCATTGCTCAAGGATTATTCCTGTTACAATTCTCAGGGGACCAAGAGGTGCCAGGGGAAAAGCCTAGGTTTCCTGCCTACAAACTGTGTATGCCCCGGGAGCATCTGCCCAGCCCTTGTCATACCTTTAAACTCCTCAGGAAACAAATAGGAAAACTGATTTATTCCATAAACAGCAGTGGAGTTGTCACTAGGAAATAAAGAATTCAAGTACCTGTGTCTTCTAAGACTTTCCTAAAAGGGAAACACACACACACAAAGAAAGTGAAGTTTGTATCATCTGTGTCACTTTTCAGAGAAATTTCTTTACAACACCCCTGTAGATATCTTTCAGAACTAAAAATAAAAGCTTGATTACTTTTTTCTACAAATCATAATGAAAGGTTGTAAGTGATAATTAGATCAGATATATAAAAGTTTTGTATTGTATAATAATTACTATCTAATTGCAGGTATATATTGAGTCTGGTAATGGTATGTCTTATAAATTTCATTCAGCACATAGAGAGTTCCACATATCTATTACTATAGTGAAAAAGTACAATAACTTGAAACTTAACACTAATATTAATGGAAAAATCTGTCAAGGATAGGAGTGATAGATCAACTATGAATTTGAGAAGTGAGTCTTCTTTATTTTAAAATTTCCTAGCATTAAGTGATGGATCACAGAGAAGAGGAGGAGTAAATAATGAAAATATAGATCAGATTCTATTTGAGTTTGAGCGTTAGAGACATCTATAACTCACTTAGGGTAAAAAGACTGTAAGAGATTAGTGATTTTGAAAATGTTCCAGTAAGATAAATTAGTTTGTATTGAGAGACCAGAAAGATAGATTGGTTTATCTATCAAGAAGGAAGGCATGTAGGATTATTAGAACGAAGAGGTCTTAGTTCTGAATTTTTTTGATCATTTATCTTTGGCTTCTCTTCTATGGGAGCATGCTTTGATTTCCCACCATCAACCAATTATGTGGGATAAAGAAAACTTCAGGAGTCCATGATCTGATACATTTTCAATTCTAGATCTTCTTATTTATGAACTTATGTATTCGTTTTATGTCTCATAAATCTGTAAATAGAATTTAGGCCAGGTCTGCCTTATCCATCAGTGTTTCTCATACAGAAAAGATGTCTGGCACACAATAGATGCTTAATTCGTGATCAGAAAATATGTAAATGAATTTTAGGAGTGCTGGGGCTCAAACCCTGGCGATCAAACCCTGATGAACCCTTTGTAACCCTTCCCCACTGTACAATCTCCGACTCATAAATAACCTTTATAGGTATTTAATAGGTATTTTTCACTTCTGTTCTTATTTCACTGCAGTTAAGGTAACATGGTTCACAGTGTCAACAATAATGGCTTTTTTACATGATCAATGCATCTCACCACTACTAAAGTCCCTGAGACCCTCCGCCACTGTCCTTATGTTATTTCTAGTCCACCTCTTCCTATCCCTCCACCCCTCTTCTACCCACTGATTTTTAACCTGTTATATAGTAAAAATAGGGTGACTCAGTAATAAAATCTCAAACATATTTTATATTTTAGGCACATAGAATAATCTTATGAAGATATTGCATATGATTTGAAAAGGAGAAATGTAAATATTAAACAAAACTGAAATACAAAGCAAGGATGAGTAAACCTTAGACTGTATGATGCAGAGGATTCATTTCTTCTGGAGTGTTGATAGGCGACTTTTGTGAGTTGGAGTAATCAAGAAAGCGAGTCACAGGAAATCAGGTAGGAACTGTGAAAATGGGCTTCACAGATCCTGCACATCTCAACTGATGGATACTTAACTGTTGCAAGTCGATTTACTGGGAGTGGCCCAGGGGGCACCATGGTTTCCAATGCTGCACCCATCCATTGATTGAGTGCTGGGGCTGGTCTATTTGGAGAACAACTGAACTCCTCCAAGAACTAGGGTTTTATAACTGAGTCTCTGGACGATTCTCTGCTTTTTTATCCTTCTCTGTTCACTTAAGAGTCAGAGATGCTATGTGATCATTTCCCCCTGGGAATCTCCCTCGTTAACTTCCATAATCACAAAGAAAAGATGAAGGCAAAAGAGAGATGACACCTATTACCAATATCAGGAATGACAGAAGGATCATCATCACAATAGAAACCTCAAAAATTGGAAGGTTCATCCTTTGACAACTTCATAACAGATTTGAGAATCACGATGATACGAAGAACTTGAGAATCCAAGTTGTTGGAAGACACAACTCACCCAAGTCAGAAGAAGAGAAATAGAAAGCTTAAGCAGCATTTATCAACGAACATTAAATGAATAGTTGGAAAGCATCCTACAAAGAATTATCCAGGCCAAGATGACTTCACTGTTGTGTCTTATACAATTTAAAAAGAAAAAAGTCTGGAATAGGACTGGGCAGAAGTAGTTAGAGTATTTGCTCTGTACATGACAGTTCCTAGATTCAGTCTCAGGCACTGCACCAGATTACTTGGTCCCTTCACATTGCCTACTGCTACCTCAACATGAGAAAATACTTTGCAACTCATTTTATGAGAGCAGGCCTTTAATAAAACTTTGATTCTAAAATCAGACAAAGATAATTTCAAGTAAATCAGATCTAAAGAGATAGCACAGGAGGTAGGGCACTAGCCTAGCACACAGCAGATCCAGGTTCGACCCCCCGGCTTTCTATATGCCTTCAGGAATTGGAAGGTTCATCCTTTGACAACTTCGAAACAAATTTGAGAATCATAATGATAAAATTGAGAATCTAAGCTCTTGAAAGATAAGATTTACCCAAGGACCAACCCCGGTCCCTTGAGCAAGGCCAAGAGTAATTCCTGCATGCAGAGCCAGGAGTAACCCCTGAGCAAATGCTGAGTGGTGTGCCCTCCCTCTGCCAAAATAAAAGAAAAAAGAAAAGAAAAGAAAAGAAAAGAAAAGAAAAGAAAAGAAAAGAAAAGAAAGACAACTATCCACTATAGCTTTCATGATTAAAAAAAAGAAAAAACCCAAATAATATATTAAATAAAACCCCACAATCTATAAAACAACCCTACTTCTTCATGACAAAATATCCAGAAATACTATGTTGGTGATCTAGAGAGCTGGAGACAGAGCTCAAGAGGCAAAACACCTGACTCCCAAGTGGGAGGCACAAGCTTGAACCCCAGCACCTGCCTAGGCTCTTACTCTCCCAAGGGAACCCTGGTGCCTCTGAATCCTGCCTCAGTATCACCAGAGCGACTTCAGTGCTCTGAGCACCTCCAGAGTGACTCCTGTAAAAATACAATGTGGTTTTAACATTTGAAAAATAACAATACACCATGAAGATAGAATAAATACAGGGGGAAAAGTGCCAAAGTTTTTAATCAACATATAAATATAAAATGGCACCATTCGATGTGTTTTTTTTTGTCATGATAAAAAACAAATCCTCATCAAGATGTGAACGAAAGAAAATTTCTTCAAACTGACTGAGAGGATTGATGAAGTGCTTCCATTAGTAAGTGATCAGTTTCTAAAAGAATCTACTTAGGAATCAATCCTGTCATTTTATAGCTGTCCAGAACCCATTCTAAGTCTATGAGATATCTATCATGTAACTTCTTGCCAAAGTCAAAATAATCTGAACAGCAAGTTTCTCTGCATTGTCTCGCCCCACCAATACATTTATACTCTTCTGACTGTGCAGAAAAATGAATATCAAATGTGGAGCCGGCGGAACAGAAAGACAGTGCAGAGGGTAAGTTGCTTGTCTTGTACACAGCTGACCTGAGTTCCATCCAGGGAATCCCAAAAGGCCCCCCCGAGTACTGCCAGGTATGATCTAAATCTGCGTATCCAGAAGTAATCCCCGAGCATCGCTGTGTCTCCCTTGCATCGCCCCAAAAAAGTGGGCTGGAAACAATTCTGACCAAAGTACAATTTTCTTATACATAAACACACACACAGTGGATTTCTCTAACTCAAATCTCAAATTTGTAACACACTGAAATGGCACATAAGTAAACACGTGCCTAGCTTCTATGCAATCTTTTGGTATAGATTGAACTTCTCTGGGATAAATTTATTTTTCTACCTGGATTAATAGTTACCTTTCAGAATACCAGGATTAATTAAACAAAGTAACATTTGGGTAATACTTGGTAGTGCCTAACATGAAAGAGTTAGATTAAATACCCTCACGACATATCCCCTTTTTCCCTTTAAAAATAGCACATTTTGGATTACAGAAAATGGAACATTGAAGTGCTTTCTTTTTGGAGGATCACTACAGGTGGGTAAAGGATTAATTAGCATTTGTTCTTAATACAAGGCAATAGAGGATAGATTAGAGATCAATGTAAATGTCCTTAAATCCACATCATGTGTTAGGATGAAAGACTTGAAACTTAATTACATTTATGAAGATGGAAAATTCCGAGGAATATACAGGAGACGTAATTAATAGTCTTCAAAGGTGACAAAGTTGAGAAAATCCATTAAAAATCAAATTGATGATAACTGACAGAAGCTAGAGATCGGAAATCAGAACTGCATTTAAACAGAAATGGTAAAGAAAAAAATCTGACTTCAGATCTTTCTGTTTTGCTTTAAAGTGAATATATTTAATTGATTGTGCTTCCATAATGCATACCAAATTTCTGACTAAAAGGAGATCCAGGGTCAAAGATGGTACTACTTAGAGAAAATATGTTCTCTGTTACATTTTTATTCTTATTTTTTTTTTTTGCTATTTGCGTCATAATGGTTGATGCTTAGAGGTTATTCCTGGCTCAGGACTCAGGAATTGCTCCTGGTGGTATTCAGGGGAGCAAACAGGATGCCAAGGATTGAAACCAGTTGGCTACGTGCAAGACAAATGCCCTCCCCACTGTGCTATCAGTATGGCCCTAAAAACATGTTCTTTGGACATTGATAGATACTAGGTTCTCTTGTGTGTGCATGTGCTGAGATGCACCTGACTAACAATTTACATGTAATATGCTCCTTGTGCATTCTAATCTGCTATTTTATTGGTTTAATTCAGGCTGGAGCGATAGTACAGTGGGTAGGGCATTTGCCTTGCACACGGCCGACCCAGCAGACCTAGGTTCAATTTCTCCACCCATCTCAGACAGCCAGGCAAGCTACCTAGAGTATCTGGCCCACATGGCAAAGCCTGGCAAGCTACCCATGATGTACTCAATATGATAAACACAGTAACAACAAGTCTCTCACAATGGAGACGTTACTGGGCCCACTCCAGCAAATCGATGCACAACAGGAGGACAGTGCTACAGTGCTACAATTCAGATATATTATCAGGACACTAGTCCGAAGTTGCTTGGTTCTTTGGTTCTTCCTTTGTTTAGGGATGGAAGAGGGGATGGGATTACGCTTTTGAGGCCACATCTAATGGTGCTCAGAGTACCCCATGCTCTGTGTTCAGAAGCGGGCCCGGTGGAGCTGGGGGACCATGTGCCCTTTAGCAGAAATAAAGGCAAGTGCTTGGCTCCCTTATAGACTCTCTGGCCCCAGAACTCTGCAGTTCTTACAATGAAAAGGAAGGAGATGATCTTTGTTCAAACCAAGAAAAAGAGAGGACTGGTTCTTTTTGATGATAAATATGGAAGAGTCTATGAGAGAGAAACACAAGCCTGTCTCATAAGGAGATTCAGGTGGTTTTCAAGTTCTTCAGAAATCAGCATTTTCCTTCAAGGCTCAGAAAGCCCCTCCTTCCATCCCAGGCATCTTAGCTGTACTGGCTTTTCCACTATAAGTACCTGCTGGGAACAGTTTTCCTCCAACATGCCCAGATATGTTGGCGCACCTGGTGTACCTGGTGTGGGCACACATGGGGCAAACGATGACGGGCACGCAGAGAAACACCCTCCAGGAGCAGCTGATGGCTGTTCACCTTGTTGCCAGATATATACATATTTTATAGAAGGTCTCGGCTTACAAGAAAGTCCAATCACATGAAGTTCAGCATTATTGGCCTATCACCTCTCCAACTCTGCTTTGCCCCTGTCCAATCCCAATCAAGGCTACTTGCTGCAGTTAGGATGACCTGCTAAGCATACATGACAGTTTCTGTGTCTAGGGCTCATGTGACTAGGGGGTCAGGGGAGGCTCAAAACCAAACACCCGGTACTGATACCCTGGTCTTGCCAACTCTGCCCAGATACTCCCTCTTTTGAGGTTTTGCTTCTGGGCCGCTTTGCAAGGTCAGGTCTTATCTGCTCCATTGCCCATCACCATGCTCCACAAGTACCAACAGTCTGAAAGTCGCTCTGTTTAAGTAAATTGAGACAGAATAAAGTATTATTTCAAAAATATCTTAAAGTACAAACCAACAGAGGTGTGTGTGTGTGTGTGTGTGTGTGTGTGTGTGTGTGTGTGTGTAATATTATGGAGATCTTAGCTATTTCTTAGTCTAAACTTTCATCGATTTGCTCAAGCAGGCTCAGTAACATCTCCATCGTGAGACTCGTTACTGTGCTTGGCATATTGAATACGTCATGGGTAGCTTGCCAAGCTTTGCCATGTGAGTGTGATACTCTCGGTAGCTTGCCAGGCTCTCCAAGAGGGGCAGAGGAATCAAACCCGGGTCAGCCAAGCTAGCCGGGCGCAAAGCAAACGCCCTATCGCTGTGCTATTGCTCCAGCCCTTTACTTTACCCTGTGGAAAGGGACAGTAGATTGTTGCTAAGCAGGAAGAATACAAAATACAATCTGTTCTGCATGCATGAACCTGTTTTTGAAAACAAGTAAATACATCTTTTAAAAAAATCCTCATTGATGCTCTAAAAATAAAACTGTCCAAGGTATGAGAAATGACGCTCTAGCACTATATTCTTTAAGTCAGTTTTATTTTACTCACGTAATTTTTGGTGTTTGGCTACATGAATGGCAAGCATCTTACAACTGTAACATCTCTCTTAACCATCTTAGTCCTTATAAGCTCTTAAATCCGGAATCATCAGAGACTGGAAGACGGATTGAGAAGAACAGGGCCTGTGTCACCCTATTTAACACAGTTGTTCAAGCCATAAAACACATATTGTCTAGCATTTCAAGACCTTCAATTTAATATCTCTTACTCCACTGTCCCCCAAGCATCTCCTAACACTGCTGAACACGTTAAGCAAATAAACATGACCACATTAAAAAATAAAATAAGTACAATTTAAATAAATTTTAAACTTGCAGCTTACTGGAAACATTAAACGTGCAGGGCTGAATTGCTAACCTGAATGAAAACATTTATTCTAAGCGCACTTATGAATGCAGATTTTAAAAACCAACTAAAACAAGTAGACTGATGTCTAACTAGTTAGGAGCATCATTGAGAAACACTATAATGACATATAAACAGACAGGTCCAAAAGTAGATATCAATTATATATAATAAAAAATATGTATTATTAGGCAAGACATCTTAAGGTAAAATTTCTGAACTTTTATGCAAAATTGAATGTGCATTAATACATAATAATTATTCTAAGGTATATTCATTCATCTTTCCTTAGATCATTATTGGGTACTATCTGTCCCACTGTCCACTGTTTCACTGTCCTCCCGTTGTCCATCGATTTGCTCGAGCAGGCCCAGTAACATCTCCATCGTGAGACTTTATGTTTGGCATATCGAATACGTAACGGGTAGCTTGCGAGGCTTTGTCATGAAGGCGAGATACTCTTGGTAGCTTGCCAGGCTCTCTGAGAGGGGCAGAGGAATCGAACTCAGGTCGGCCATATAGGCTGCATGCAAGGCAATGCCCTACCCGCTGTGCTATCGCTCCAGCTCCACCATCTGTCCCAAGAAGGATAAATATATCTACCGACAGACATTCAGTAAAATAAGAAAGATCAGTCAAGAATCGGTGGCCACAGGTAGGTGATATCACAAAGGAGAGTAGCCCAAATCCTCCAGCTAGCATCCCAAACATCATAGGAGAGAAACAGCAAAGAGGAAGCCTGCTATCCATCAGACCATTGCAGGGTATCCTGTGAGGTCCATGTGCTCCTCATCCTCAAATATTTTTGAGGTGTGAGAAAGTGTATTTATTCGGACCACATAACCACTATCACTCTCAACGGATTTAACACCACGTGCAACATTAGGAATGGAAGACAGGACAAAAGCTCTGTTCTCAAGAAATTGTACTGGTCTTGACAACTGGAACTGAGCTCAAAATTAACAAAACAAGGATGAAAGTACACATTGATTTGGGGAAAACCTAAGAGTGGCACAAATTCACCAAATAATGAGCTTTCCAGGGAGAAAGAGGTCTCAAAAGAGTACTGACTTCCTTGAGAAACTGTGTGCACGTGTGTGCTGTGTGTGTGTTGTGTCTATGTGTGTTTCATATAGGCAGTATCATTAAGTTAACATACTTTTTATTTAGAATGTTTATTTTGCAATAAATACAGTAAAATGATCTCTTATGATTTAAAAGTTTTTAAATCATGAGAGGGGCTGGAGCGATAGCACAGCGGGTAGGGCATTTGCCTTGCATGTGGCAGACCCAGATTCGATTCCTCTGTCTCTGTTGGAGAGCCCCAGCAAGCTACTGAGAGCTTCCCGCCCACATGGCAGAGCCTGGCAAGCTCCCTGTGGTGAATTCGATATGCCAAAAACCAAAAACCGTAACAACAAGCCTCACAATGGAAACGTTACTGGTGCCCGCTCAAGCAAATCGATGAACAAGGGGAGGACAGTGCTACAGTGCTACATCATGAGAGATAGAGAGACTGAAAAGAGACAGGCACAGAATGAACAGCGATGCAAGCTCAAAATAGGTATCTCTTCCCATTTCTTTAGTTTTAGGACAAATCTTACTCAACGAACAAGAGTCTGTTGCAAAATTTCAAGGCACAGGTTAATAGCCAAGCGTTACTGTAAAAGGCTTCTCAAAATCATCTAAAAAGGAAATGAAACGTTCCCCTTTCCTGTCATTCCGTGTCACCCAATCAGAAAGCGTGTTCAAGGCGTCTCACTGAAAGTTAGAGTCCCAGCTCATCCAGGACATCAGAGAGGGGCGGGTTTCTCTTGTTTCTAAAAACTGCTTCCTTTTTTGTTTCTAAAATTCTGATTACAGAAAAGGATTGCCCAGCGCCCCCTTCCGGAAGGAAAACGAAAGAGAATTTTTTTTTTCCCCTTCTTTTTTCCCTCCCCCTGCTTTTGGGTGCGGAAACCGTGCACGGGACAGTTGGGAAGGTAGCTAGAACTTTCCCGAGGGCGCCAGATACACAAGGAGAGGGCGCTCCTTCCCCTCGATGCTGCTGGGTCCATATGCCCGGATCACTTGGGGTCGCATCCCAGAAATGCTCGCTCCTCACCCCCCCACCCCCATACACACACAAATCTGATAAATCTGTCCTGGGGCTTCTGATCACTGGACTAGCCAAGGTCAGGGTGACTGAGACGCCCCCCAGGACGCCCTCCGCTCAGAAACCTCAGCCACGACCCGGACGCGCGGGTGCCGATTGGGACCCCGCAGTGCCAGCCCAGCCCCGGGACAGGAAGGGACGAGAAGGGACAGAGGGGCCGGTACCCGGAAGGCGGCGGCCCGTGGCTCGCGACTCGGCGGCTCCGCTGGGGCGAAGGTGGCCCGGGACCCCGCGACGAGGCCGGCGCCGCAGCCGCAGCAGCAGCAAAGCAGCCAGAGGTGCAGCAGCGCCCGCGGGCCCATGACCGCGCGGGGAACCCCGACGGCTGCTCCTTTCGATTCCGAGGCTCCTCCCACTCCCAGGCTTTGGCGGGGCGGGGGTGGGGGGGCGGGAACTGGCTCGTGGGGTGCGCGATCCGAGCTCCTGGGACTGGCCTACGAGCTCGCCCGGTGGGAGTCCAGCCCGCTGCAAACCGGTGCGCTCTCGGCTGGCTGTGGTGCACGCTCCGGGTTCGCACCCGGCCGGGCTGGGCTGCTTTCCAGAAACCACCGCAAGTCACTGCAAAGCTCTCCGAGAGCCGGCTGTCCCCAGAATCAAGTCCTTGATTGCCAGTATTTTTTTTTTTTTTACTTTCATTGCAAAGAAGCAAGCTGCGTTTGCATGCGCCTTGACCTTAAGCCTGTGGGTCCTTAGGCAGAGAGTTCCCTAACTGTCAGGACCTAAATCTGGAGCCAGTGGACTGGACTCGGAGAGCTTCCCACGGAAGTGGTTTTGAAAGCCTCTCCGCATATCTGCAGTTGTCCACATAAGATGCCATTTCTCTGCACGTACTGCCTTATAAGTACAGCGTGCTAACCAATTGCACCAGTGGAAGGATGGGTATTTGATCATTGTATAATTGCAACCCAAGCACAAAACTGTACTTCATGGTGTTTCACTAATAAAAATTTAAAAATTAAAAAAAAAGATGTCATTCCTTTATTTGTCGTGGCATGGCCGTTTTAGAGGTCCCCAGGATGGTTTCTCCGTTTGCAGAGGAAGCTAGAAAACCTACTTTTTAAATTTGTGATTGAAGAAAGTTTTTTTTTTTTTAAAAGAGGGGGTCATCCTGTGAACCTCTTTGTACTTTTATTGCTTTGTTTTGTTTGGGGACACACTCGGTTGTTCTCAGGGATTTTGTTGTTGTTTTTGGACTCACAGGTGATCTTCTGTGCTCTGGGATCATCTGTTGTGGCAGGATCAAACCACAGACAGTTGTGCAAATCAAGCACAGTACCACTGTCTTATCTCTGCAGCTCTTGTTTTAAATGCTGTGTGTTAGCGATGTATTTTAAACTATTTATGTATTTCCACCACTCCACCCCCATTTTATTATTTCTGCATTAATTTACCACAGCTTTCTTCTTGCTTGCTTTATCTTATAGTTTGAGGTGTTTTTCCCCCTTTTCTTTTTATAGTAACATAATCACAGGAATGGGCCATAGAAGGAGGAAGCTAGTGTTTAATTCAGTTGCCTTTTTTTTGTTTGTTTCTGGCAGAAGCAGGGTTTCTAGGTGGAGGATGAGGAAAACCTCCTTTTAAGGAGACAGGGAGGCTGCAGATAGTCAGTGTGACATTGCTGAGCACCTTGAAAACAATCTCAGTTCCATGTAATGTGCACAAGAAATGCAAGGTGGCATTATGCAGCTCCAGACTCAATTTTGAGTCTATTCTTCTGATGTTCTGACGAGCTCCCAGGCAACGGCTCCACAGCATAAAAAAAAATTGCTCCCCAGAAATTCTGTGAGGCAGGGTTGCATACCTCAGAGAAAATTTGGTATGCTTTCTTCTCCTTTTTTTGTTGGGGTGGGGGGAGTATCTGGCAGTTCTCAGGGTTTACTCCTGGCTCTGCACTCAGGAATCACTCCAGGCAGTGCTCAGTGGACAATATGGAATGCTGGGGATCAAAGCCTGGTCAGCCACATTCGAAGCAAATGCCCTACCTGCTATACTATCCTTCCAGCCTCTTACTTCCTCTAGGCTTTTCACCTTGGATAGTGAGTAAAGGGTGAGAAATCTTATCTCCTTGGGCTTTAGGACCTGCTCATAACCTGAAGGGTGACCAAAAAAAAAAAGTAGTAACTGGATAAGGACCCTGCTGGGGTTAGGAAAGACTAACCTGGCCTGGGGACTGTAGTCTGGGATATACAATGAGATGCGCCCAGGAGAGTGACCCTTTAAGCTTATATTTCTTACTGTGTGCATACAAAATAACTAGAAATAATATTAAGAAGTAAATTTAAGAGAACTGCTTAAATGGGTATGGGCTAAGGAAAGGGGAAATACTCTCCCTAGATGGTATTCTTTCGCTAGGTGAATCTCCTTGCAGGATGAGAATTTGTCCTAGAGGAAGCTTCCCCCGAGGTAAGGGCTTTACATCTGTTGATTGTGCAACCATACCTGGGTGTATTTGCTACCTGGAACTCTGGTCCATGACTGAGGCTATGAGAAGAGGGAAGGAGAGACAGGAATACAAGGCAGTGGGAAACTAGCTTGTGGGGCAGAGAGTGAGACAGGGATTGGAATAAACTGTCAATGACAACCAACCAGCCTGACCCCTTTGCCTCCTTCATACTTCTGTCAGATGAGGCGGGCCGGGGTGAGAAGTGGCTTAAAGCCACTGAATTCAGGCAGCAAACACCCCCACATTTTTTGAACACACAGTCTGGTGTTTGCCCTCTTTATGTTTGCTGTGTTCCAGGGATCAGACTGCAATTTGGTAGTGGCGGTGGGAGTCCAAATAGAGTGTTTCAGGATCTCACTTGGCTTGTGGAATTCTGCTGGGATCAAACTTCCTTGCTCCCTGGTAGAGAAGTCCCCATGGAGGATATGTATGGTGAGCCCTATTCCAAAGGGAATCATGGTAGGAGACTCATTTTATTTATTTAATTAATTTTTATTAGTGAAACACCATGAAGGACAGTACACATTTTTTGCTTGGGTTTCAATAATACAATGTTCGAGTACCCATCCTTCCACCACTGCCCATTTTCCACCACCACTGATCCTAGTATCCCTCTTACCCCCCTTCCCCCACATCCCACCCTGCCCCTGTGGCAGGGCATTCCCTTTTGTCCTCTCTCATCTTTTGGGTGCTGTGGTTTGCAAAAGAGGCATTGAGTGGCAATCATGTTTGGTCTATAGTCTACTTTCTCCCCTCCTGGGAGGATCCTCCCAACACCCTTTATTTAGTGCTCCCTTCTTTATCTGAGCTGCCTTTCCCCCTAGCATGTGTGGCTGGCTCCAAGCCATGGAGTGAATCTCCTGGTACTTATCTCGGCTATTCTTGGGTATTAGTTGGGTATTAGAGGAGACTCGTTTTAGATAACAGATATACACAAGGTTCATGTCAATTTCGGTCACTCTATGACTAGCCTTTTCTTGCAAGTCATTCAAGCTAAAACTTTTGAATTTTTAAATAAATATTTTGCTTTCAAATGATAATCTGTTTACTGATAATCCAGTAAGTCAGAAAAGTAAGTGGCGTCTCTTTCACTAAAATAGTTGCTATTATTTAAAACAATCCATTTAACCTAACTTTATTCTTTCTTCTTCCTTCTCTTTGTCATTTTTGTGATGATCTGGGAATCACACACATACTCCAGACCCTTAGGCTGGAATATTTAGTTGCAATGCTTGGACATGTGCTTATGAGAGTTTGAACCAATTCCTTGTGATGCTCAGATAATTCTGCTTCTACTGCTTTTCAGGGAGCGGGGACATGGGTCGCTGTGGTATAACTGTACAAGTTCACCCAGGCCTGTATTTCTTGGCTACATGATTGCACACATATCTTTTAGTTACTGTGCTTCTAGGGCCTGTGTCACTTTCATTGTAATGTTTACACACACACACACACACACCAGGCTTTGGTGTGGCCTGCTCTCATTGAGGGCCACTGAGATCAAGGCAGCAGAGTAGTTAGGTTCAAACTGAAGCTGCCTGGATCATGTATGCGCTGATTTTAGGGAATAAACTCACAGTCTCAAACCTGCAGTGAAGCCATTCTGAACCACCACTCGACTTGGAAGCACCCGCAATATACTGGTTCAGCTCATGTTAACAAAACTTTAATTCATCAATCACAAATAAGCACTGGGCAATTGTTCTAGGGAAAGTAGATACATTAGCACACACATGATGAAAGAGAGATCATCCCTGTTTTCATGGAGCTGACGTTTAGATAGGGAAAGATAAACAATAATATGAATAAAATTGTTCTAGATAAATAGCACAAGCTAGGGAGAGTCAGGAGACTGAGAAGGAGGGTTGCAATGTTAAGCAAGGTATTTGGGAAAAGCCTTGGTAGAGAGAGAGAGAGAGAGAGAGAGAGAGAGAGAGAGAGAGAGAGAAAGAGAGAGACAGAGACAGAGACAGAGAGACAGAGACAGAGAGACAGAGAGACAGAGAGACAGAGACAGAGACAGGCAGAGAGACATATTCAGATACTTGGGGCAAGAGGCATTCATTTAAAAGTAATAGTCAGTGCAAGGATCTTGAGGTGGAAGCATGTGTAGAGTGTTCCAGAAACCAAGAAAGTTAGTGTAGATGGAGAGCCAAGATAAAAGAAGAAAGAGATCAGAAAGAGGGACTCAGATCTTGCAGGGCTTCTGAGATAAGAGCACTAAAGGCGAATCATCAATTCAATAATGTTAGAGAGAGGGAACTTGAAAAGGCTCACATCTCCAAAGTCAATGTCACAAATATCAACTACTTTCTAGACTCAACACTAAAAATTGCATTTATCAAGCAGGTGTACTTTGCTCATTAAACTTATGAGCATGGTTCCATGGTTCATGGAACTATCACTGCTGTCTTAGTACTTATCCCTTCATAAAGGTAAGCCCCAAATCTAATAGCTATAAATAATCAACAGTGATTATCTGTTGGACATGGGAGTCTCCCGATGGACGGTTCCACAATGAAATAGACCACATCATATTCAATCGGTGGTTTTGCCTAACCGATGTTGCTGTTGTCCCAAAATTCCAAACGGGATCAGACCACCGTCTTCTTCGTGCAAAATTCTACCTCACAGAACGAGGAGAAAAGAATGCAAGGTTTAAGAAGAGGACTCCCAGAACAACCACCAACTGGGAACTCTTTGGCTCTGTTGCGGCAACATGGGAAGATGCTGTCATTGACAACATTGATGAGGAATACGATCGAATGATTCAGCACCTCCATGATTGTGCAAGGAATGCCAAGAGAGAAATAACCACAAAAAACCGTCTTTCTTCGAACACTCTTGAACTTATTCGCCAACGTGGCTTGGCACGTGCCTCAGGCAACCACAA